AGATAGAGGTGCATTTTTGGATGCGCTCTCCCTTTGGAGGTTGTTGATCGGGATTTGTCAGGGCCGGGCATGCATGGGGCAGGGGCGTGGCTAGGGGTGGCGTGGCCGAGCTGGGGTGGGGCGAAGCTGATGGGGATTCGGAAAGTTATTGGTGTTCGCGGCAATATGTTTCATGCATGCCGCCTTCACGCACTGCCGATTGGCAGGCACCAGCCGTGCCTCAAAAATTCTCAACCTCTCAACGCAGCGCCAGCTATGTCAGGCGCTGACCTTCCTGCACCTGTGCCTCCTGGCACCTCGCCAGGGTGCAGGGCTTGCCGGCCACCACACACGCCGCCGCCACACGCGGCCCCTCTTGCAACCCACCCCCACAGGCCATCCAGGTGATGCGCGACCAGCCAAGGGGCGGCCACATATTCAATATGGATGGTGCAGGTGGGATGCAGGGCTTGTCGGCAGGGCAGGGAGGGGCTGGGCCACACGTGGAAGCCTGGCAGGCTTGGCAAGTGGAGCCCCAACCTTGGCGACGCGGCAGTCCGCTGGGGTGGCCATTCGGCGTCGTCGCCTCGCCGCGTGCGTGGGGCTTGCAAGTTCCTGGCCACGCCCTGTCGTTTGGCGGCGCGTGCCCCGCACTGCACTGCCTGGCGCCACCTGGTGTTTCGGTGGGTGGCCGCAACCCGCTACCACCACCATCATCTGGACGCCAGTGCACACCACGATACTGAATGCTCGCGTGCACACCACCGCCGCCAGGCGCGGACGGCAACGCGACGCCGCGGTTTGCCGCTTACGGCGCCACCAAGCGCAGCTTGGCGCAGCTGGGCAAGAGCCTGGAGGCGGAGCTGAAGCTGCTGGGGGTGAAGAACGTCGGGATGCACAACCTTTCCCCCGGCATGGTGCGGACGCGCCGGCGCGTGCACCCGCCTGCGCGGCTGTGCACGCCTTTGATTCGCAGTCCGGCCGCAGCAGGGGTGCTGTGCTTGCTCCCCGCTGCTTGCATCCCTCAGCCAAAGAGCCCTTGGTGTGCAGGTCTAGATATGAGTATTCCGGGAGATCGTGCTCCTTGCTATCAGGCGCCGCGCACTGCAACGGCCCCAACGGCCGGCTGCCACGCCACCCCCTCCCACCATCTGCTGCGCCCCAGGTGACCACCGAGCTGCTGATGAGCGGGGCTGACACCCCTGTGGCCAAGTTCTTCATCAACTGCCTGGCGGAGGAGCCCCAGGAGGTGCGTGGCCGCACTCCAACCCCACCCCTGGACCCAGGCCCCCAGACTCCCGACCGCACCACCAACTTCAAGCCAAATCCCAATCCCAAATCCATCCCAATCCCCGCCCTACCCCCACCCCTTCACCCGTCGCTTGGAGCCTCAGCGCGTGCGAGTGTTCGGAGGTCGCAACCACGGCCCGCCGCACCCTCGCCTGCAGCCCTCCCTACCCCTTACCCCGGGGTTGCATTTGCAACAGGGCCACGGGCGCCTGCACGCCTCCTGATCGCAAGCGGCATCGCGGCCAGCCGTCTGCGCGGCTGCGGTGCCCGCCCATAGCCCTGGATTTGCGTCTGTCGCGAAAAAAATGAAACAGCTGAGAATGGCAAACTTATTAAACGTATGTGCGTTCAAGCACGCATGCATTTCTGAATCGCCTGTGGCACCCCCCGCCCCCACAGGTCGCGCAGTATCTCGTGCCGCGCCTGAGGCGCGTGCCCCAGGAGAGCGCCACCCTGACTGGCGGCATCAGCAGCCAGGTGACCATGGCAGGGGGACTCGGCGGCGGGGCGGCCCAAGGCGGGACGCCTGGGCAGCAGGATGCTTGGGGCCTGGGCGGCTGCGCACGCGGGCCCGGGCGCTGGGGTGCTGCTGCACTGTTGCGGGTATGGCTGCAGGCTGCGGTGTTGCGGGGCTTCTTGGTTCTGTAGAGGTTCTGCCGCCTGTCGCATGGCGGCACACGGTCAACCGACCAATGTCTGTACCGCTTCACTCTGTGTCACTCACCCCGCAGTACATCAAGTACCTCACCCCGCCCAAGGCGTACAGCCAAATCCTCAAGCGCCTGGTAGCGGGGGAGAGGAAGAGCCGATGGGTGCCCGAGGACAGCTGAGAGGTGCAAGCAAAGTGTCCGACCCCCCCCGCTGTCGGCCCCCGGCTGCTGCTCGCTGGGGCGGAAGGGCAAGACGCGCCGCTGGGCCAGTATTACATGTGCAGGGCTGCGCGGTGCCGCCAGGCGTGTGGTAAATCTGTGAGCCTTACGTGCTGCCGCACTTTCTTTGGAAGGCGCGCTGCAGCTTTGTCTGGCATTCGACATTGGCGGCACCCCAAAGCTGTTTGGAGAGAAGGAAGTGGAATGGCCCCAGCCACGGCGGTTTTGAGCTTACAGGCGGCCCTTTTTTGGTACTCAGGGAGCTTTCATTTTGCAGAGCAGGGGAACACCGTCGCGCCGCCCTCACTGGGACGTGAGGGTGTGGATCAAGAGTGCTGTTACGCCATGCATCATCATGCTATGTTTGTATCACGTCGGCAGCACCGAGCGCTGCATGTGGCGCGACCCACGTCGCAGCAGGTCGCAGTGCTCAAGCAGCACCAACCGCCGCCGTTTTTCTCCAACCTCACGCGAGCATGCGCCTTGTGCCTGGCTACCCTGTGTAAGCTGCTGCATGTAACTCCTGGCATTGCCGCGATTGCTGAGCGCGCTTCTGAAAGGACGGTGTGCAGCCTGCTCGCCGCATCGACACACAACAGCACTGCAACGCGCCCCCTAGCCCCGCCGCCGGTGCTGTCTCGCACACAGCAACAAGATCAGCACCATGCGGGGGGGTCCTCACGACTTGTCCCCTGTCTATAGCGATGGCGCAAGGAGCGCTCTAGAGCCACACACACCAGATGGAGAATCGGTGTTGGATTGGTGGGGAGGCGGAAGCCAGGGGTTGCAAGGAGGTGGGGGCAGCGGCATGGTGGATTGGGATTTGTGCTTGTGGAGTATGGCGGAATTCATAGGG